GAAATTTCGTCTAGTTGATGTGAAGCTTTAAGGTTGGAAAGTATAAGTTATTTAATAGTAGCAAAATTTTTATATTAAATTTGAAATTTTGAAATACAAATACATATAAAAACTAAGCAATTATATATTGAATATTTGATATTCAAAGAATCAAATAAATAATTATTCTAATATATTTTATATTTGCAAATTCTGTTTTAAAAGCATATCTTAGTTCAAGTTTTTTTTATAACTCTGAGAAATGCTGCATTTTTTACTATCCGTGTTATTTTTACCAAATTTACTCGTCGATACAAGTTCATAAAGACCAGATATGTTGTCCATAATTTACTATCATAAAATCGCATCCAAATTCATAAAATAACTGCGGATTGCGAAAATAACGACCGCAAAGGCGGAAGAGGGACAAATATTTTTCATCTAGGTAACCAGAAAGTCCGAGAAGCGCGCCGACCCATGAAATAACCATCGCACTTTGAAATATTTTCTAGTTTCAAAAGGGAAAATTGTCCTTCCGATGTATGAAGGACTCGTGAAATAGCCATGAAATAAATTGATGGATAAAATACTGCTTAGAAATGTATTGCAATAACATTCAGTTGTCACAAGTTGTTCATTTGGTTACTATATAATTTTATTTTCAATTCCTTTTTTTACTCTGTATTTTCAAAAATTCTACTAGATTAATATGTTTCTCTTAATAATATATTTATAATAGTCGGCTATTTATCGAGAACCCCAGAAATTTCTAACCCAAAACTTTGGTTTTGTTCTGTTTAAGTTTTCCGTAGAGCTTTCGGTTCCTCGATTTTCTTGTTTACCTATATTTACGCAATGCCTATGCTAATACAAAATTTATTAACGTCGTCTTGAGATTAATGTTTACTTTTCCTTAATGGAGAATAAAATATTGGTCGAAATAAATAGCTGAAGATTTAGTTTAAGGCGATTTGAATTATGAACTTGAAATGCGCAATACCAAATTAACATAGAAATTGTAAACAAGCTTGTTTCTTGTTTTTGTGTTAAATACAAGCCTAATTTTTTGTTTAAACAGCTATCAAAATCAGGTGTTGTAATAATTAGAATTTGAAATTAGAAAGTAACCTAATGTTTTTTTTCTTATTTGAGATATATTTTTATTCTACTTATAAAAGCTCTCAGCAGACAATTAAACAATAGTTCAACAAATTTATACTTTAGCACGATTTGGGAAATAGTTGAAATCATTTTCAATTTTTAATAATTAAAATAATGACCCGTAAGTTTAATTCTCTAAAAAGTTTTGATTGCAATGATTGTAATTGTTTTTATATAGGAAAAGTTCCCCATTATATCTTTAGAAGAATAAATCAAATATTTTTATTTCTAGAGGTACAATACAATTGAAAACAACTTTGAACAAATCTTTGATATATAAACATGTTGACTTTAGAAGATTTGTAGAATCTTGTTTCATTCAACTAAAATTTAATTAATCTTAGTTCCTAAATGCTCATATCAACAAAAGTCTTTCTTCTATATTTAAAAATTCCAAATCAAAACTCAATATACGTTTCTACACCTGATTCATATCTTAATAATTCAACAAAGAATTTAAACACAAATAATAATAATACTAATCATGTAAATAATATGAGTTGTAGTATTTTCATTCAGCGTTCCCAGAACGTTTTCTACGTGAAATAGCGATTAACAATGAGACAAATCATCTATTATCAGTCTATTCAATAAGTTTTAAAAGTATTTAATCCCACAAATACGAAACACTAATCGTCTAATCGAAAATCTAATCATCATTTAAGGAAACATTCTAATACAATGTGTTCTTTCGTCTCTCCCTAACGAAACAAACTTTGATTATATGAAATGCTTTTCTTGTCGCCGAAGGAACTTTCGAAACATTTAGAATACTCTTGTTGAACTATTTTAAAATAAGAATTTTGAATAAATAAACATAAGGACTTATTTGGTTTCTCATTTTTTGTATCAAATGCATGATGAAAGATGTGAGTGTTTATATCTTATTACCACAGTGTAATTTGAGAACACAATCCTAATTTGTATATCATTATATCGCCCATTGAAAAAAAAATATAATTCCCCAATTGTACAATCGAGATAATTGTATGATTATTACTTATTTCAAATTACCTCCACATCGTTCATTGTGTAAGAAGGCTGGTAAAAAGCGTTTTCCTCGGAAAATCGAGGAGAAGAGAAAAGGTCCGACTCGTTATTGCAGCGGAAGAAGTTTTCAGACAAACAATTTCCACAAATTACAGAATAGAAACTCTAAGAAAAGGTAGAAATTCTGACAGAATTAATGGCCTTCGCGCTTATGAAATGTTGCGTTATTATACAGTCGGTAATAAACAATTTAGCTTATTATTTTGCACGAAAGTAAAATTAAGTAATACCGGTGCTCGGTGTATATAATTAAAATATTATAATGATTCTTAATTAGATAAAGTGTAAAATAGGCTTTAGCTTCACAGTTGCCGACCTGAATACAAATACTTTTATATGAACTTATGTATTACGATAAAACGTGCGTCGCAAATTAATTTAGGACAGGCGTTTCTAATAACTTTTGCTTAATATTCACCTTTTGATAATGAAAACAGTACAGAAATTAATAAATGCGCTGAAATAATTAAGGAATAATAAAATCAGTTATTATAAATCAAATTATAAACATTATCTAAATTTTAACAAAGTGGCATTATACTTTAAGGTATATAATCATACTTTATCGTCTTGGAATCAAATAATCCGGAATAACTTAAAACGTCGATAGTTATAAAATTATTTGACATTATTTTGAAAATTATTTTTAAAATTATGTCAAACTTTAACGATAAGACATACAATATTTATTAACTACCTAAACTATTTTTTAATTAGCTATTATTGCAAAATTCCCTATTTATTTTTATTAGAAAAAGTCGTATTTGCAACAAATCAGGAACATTTATTTAGAAACGCAAACTATATAAATACAGACTCTTTGCTTTATTTTTTTTACCGCAAATTTTTTCAATGAGCCTTAAAATTCAAGCTTTTTTTTTAAATCTTACATCTAAAGACTTTGATTTTTAATTATTTGCGGTTACTTTTGTTGGGTTATCTAAAAAATTAGCAAAATTTGGATACATTCATAAAATGTTTGTACTTTCTATTAAAATCTACATACATACGCAGCCGCACTGTTTCCGTGTTTTTTGTCCCCAAAACTATAGAAGTTACCGTGATTTTATTCAGATACACAAAAACCTAGTTTTTATTCCCGTTTTTTTCCAAAATAGAAACCGAAGAAATTTTTTCCCCTTGGCTATAATTGGCATACGTTCCAAAGCTCGTATTGCGCAACCCACTTTTTATATATTTTTGTAAAAAAATCTATGTACGGAACTTTATAATCTGAGCTAATCTCGTAATAAATAATGTCTCATAAAAATTTATGAATGTTTACATCGGTGTTATCGTGATAACAATTACAACGGTAGAAATAAATGTGCGGCTTTTCCAACGAGAACTTTTTAATCTGTGCAAAGCTCCTTGGTATTAGCTGTCGGAGTTGTCTAAATATAATCAAAGATTCTCAAGTGAAAAAAGAGATATATAATTTAATATACATTTTTTTATTGGACCAAATAAAAAATAAGTTTAGTTTTATAATCCTAAAAATAGTGTAGAAATGTTAAGGCACTTTAGTTTCTATGTTCATTTATACCTATTTATAATTTAATTCTGTATATCCCATAAATATGTTCAAGTTTCTGTTTAGCATTCACAAAATTCCCAAGGCTATACTTTAGCAAAATTTTCCATATCTGCATTATGCCCTGAGATCGGATGAAATTTTCTTTTATGATCATAAAATGTATTGTAGCAAACGCATTTTATTTACTAAAGAATCAATATCTATGTGTTCACCTCACGATAATCGGATTAAATATGTGAAAAGCTTTTATATCGAATAGAAACTTTGAAAATTTGTATATGATGATAATGCATAGATGAGCTATGTGAATTTTGAATATAACGTATATTTGTTTTTAATTTATTTAAGCTAGTTTTAATGGAATTTAATTATAATATTGAGCTTTTGATGATTAAGAGTAAATGGAAAATTGCATTTTCATGATTTTACACGTGATTAAATTTTCTTGTTGATTAACGTTTACAATCTTTATGAATTGTCATATATTGAAGTTTTAATTATATATTTCATAATTATTGTACCGGCGTAGCTATGACAATTTTCTCATAAAATATGTGACTATTCTAACAAACTAATTTGCATTTTATAATAATATATTCTCTACTTATATAAAAAAATTCATAAAATATGTATTTCCATCGAACCAATATTTTTATTCAATATAATGATAAAACCGTATTACAAAAACTTGCACAAGTTAGCATCTCTATTTTATTTTCCCCAGAAAATACGTTTTTATTCAAAAACAAATTTATAACTTTTATGTCTTTTCATTTTACATATAGACAGCTACAGTAATATTCAATTTACATTTTCATTTTTTATGTTTCTCTAATAGAAAAAAAACATTTCTCATATATTACAATATAAAATCGAATGTGAAATAAAACATAAGTATATGTACAGGTAGAACATTTTGTTGTCCTTCTGGGACATATAGAAAATGAAAGAAAAGTAGTCGTAACCGCAAGGAATGAAACAAATACAAATACGGAGATAGGAGTAATAGAAATATTTTGTATCAGAAACGTAAATACAAGAAATTTTGATAAAATAATCAATATTCTTGATAAATACTGCTCTTCTACATATTTGCCTATTCGAGAGCTGATCAAAATCAATGCATGATTCAAATTATAACTGTAGTTAAGAAACTTTCCAATGAGTAATAATTATATTAAAGTATACATAGATTTATAAGATATATTGTATACAGATTAACATTATCAATTTACCATATCTAAATTTATTTCACTAACTTAATTTTTTTTAGGATATGAAGATAAACTGGCCTGCACCAACTCCGCCGTCTTCAGCGCCGAAACAGGACACAAGTAGTAAGTCTTTATTTTTTAATATATTTGTGTGTATATATATATATATATATATATATATACACGCAAATGATTGATGATATATAAAATTAATATCTCCAGCAATCGCATATATCTTGCGTTACTAAAAAACATTACAACTCATCAATCTCAATAAATGATTAAAAAATAAAATTCAAATGAAATTAAATCGACTGTAAGCAAAATTACTGGCGATTATTTATTTAAAAATTACTTTTTCCTTCAAAACAGTGTGCTTGAGTTTATGAAGTGTGTTTTATATTGAAAATAATTTCGATATAATATAATCGTGGGTAATAGTCCGATATGGTTAGGTGTCAATTTTTTGAGACATCCCACTTTAGCATCTTGTGGAATCAAAATTTCCATTATTTTCAATTTTGATATTTTTCTTTATTTTTAAAACATTAACTAATAACTTAACTCAACTATAATATAGTATTTTTTCCACGGCCTTTTAAGAATTGTATAACATTCAAGCCTCGAGACAAGAATTCCTTCTTTATAGGAAGTATTATTAACAATAATTGTACTAGCTATAGAAAAAAGCGGTTCAGAGACTATTACCCCTTTATAGGAAGTATTATCAACAATAATTGTTCTATTTATAAAAAAGCGGTTAGGAGATTTGAATTAGAAGCTATCTGCAAAGTTATTGTGCGATAAATTTTAGGTCAATTTTAAAGTGTCGTAAAAGAAAGCGATGAATGTTTTTACTATCCATTTTTTACCACTTGTTTATTAATATTATTAAAATACAAAACAAAAATTAAAAAATATAAAAGTTCAAAATTGTAAAAACTGGCAGCTGATAAAGTGGGCGATCTCCAAAAATTGGCTCCTCAGTCTTGACATGATTTCAACCCTCCTAGCCATCGGAAATGCAAAAAATAAAAAGATTATTAATCTACAATGATGTCGGAATCGTCCGAACTAGCGATGAGTAAAAATTTTTTTTTACAAATTGGCGACTGTTCGAAGAAAAAAGTGTTTTTTTACTGTTTTTTGCGTTTTTCGAATTTGTTAAAAATAGTAAAAATTGGAATTTGGGGAAATCCTAGTTCGGTCAATAGATAGGTCTATATATATTTTAAGTGAATCGGTCGAGTAGAACTCGAAAAATCGTGTCAACAGTACTTAAAAAGTGTGTTCTGAGAAAAACGCATTTAAAGTTTTGCGCGAAGCCAAACCAGTATGGAGACCGAGTCAGTAAAATGCCTATATCTCCGAAAATAATTCAAATTTTCAAAAAACTTTCCGTATCCATGTTCTTAGATAGCTTTGAAAATATGAAATAAAACAAATCGATTTTTTTTAATTTCTACACTTGAATACCCCCTTAGATGCAAGGCGACTTAAATGTTCCCAATTACCTTGTTTTTTATTGTTCTACTGTATCTTTGCAATTTGCGATGAGATACTTTAATAAAATAAAAAAACAGACAAGACATTAATTTTTAAACTTCGATTCGAGAACCGTCCGAGCTTCGCGTCCAGTTGCCCAAAAATCGCAACCTCGTCGCCGGCCTCAATTTCCCACCCTGGTGGAGGTGCACTACGCACTCCGCACTCGACTTTTCCGATAGTCAGTCGGCGCCTCTCGCATGTTTTTATTTATTACATCACAAGCAGAACCTCATCCGCACCGGCGAGGCGTTCGTATAAATCACGACGAGATTTTACATTTACGTGCATACTTGAGTATCCACATACTAGTCTGTACGATCACGTGTAGCATACGTAACGGCACTTCGTCGAATAGTAAATTATTTATAACAAATCTAAAATTTATCACTCGAGGAAGTCGTGTGGGTGAGCTCGATCTTCGGATAACCGATGGAAATTTCAAGTATGGAAATAAATATGAGATTGCTGTTGGACAATATGAGTTTGCTTTATTGCTTTTCAATCAGCATATTTTATAGAACTGATGTGGGCGGCAGAGGAGGACTAGAACTCTCTATAAAATGGAAGTTGTATTTAGCATACACTAAGTACTATTTTACAATTTTCCGAGTTAAATTGCTGTTTAAGCACCAATCATGACGGATTATGAGAAAAATTTTACCCCTAGGACTAGAACAAAGGATACATATGTAAAATAAAACATTCACCTATTCTTTTTTTCTATTTATATATATTTGATAAGCACGACGAGGAGATAGTGATAAATGACAAGTCAGATACTGACAGAACGACAAACAGCCTGTGACAGACTGATAACAACGCGTTATTAGGCTGTTGCCGGAACACTGACACGTGACATGACATTTACATTCCTAACGAAAAGAATTCGAATATGTGACACATATCCCACACACGAAATACCCCCACACACTGGGATAGGATATTGCGGGGAAAGGCGATTATATTTCGTCAACTCTTTCCCGGATCGATATGGAAAGGAAACAATTTTTGGAATAGTCATGGATAGAAGATAATTAATCTAATAATGATACTAATGATCATTATATAGTTGCACAACAAAGTGTACAGCACAATATATATATATATATATATATATATATATACATATTTCTACCCCCATATGAAATTATCTACGCATGAAAACACTCATGCATACAAGTAATATTTGTATCATCGACATAAGAACAGAGAATATAAATCTACAAAGAAAATATTACAAGAAAATTATTTCCCCAGAGCTTACCAAAAAATATTTAATTTACTGTATTTTCCCTTGTATTCTGCAAACAGCCTATAAATTATACTCCAGATGTAAGTTTGAAATATCAAGATGAACATAAAAACGAACCTTGAGCTATATGAGATATAAAAAGTGAGCTAATTCCGTCTGCTTTTACGATCGAAATGTATACTTTATAATGTTAATTCTAAGTAAAAATAAAAAAGAAGTCAAGTTTCAATTCATATCTTGTAGGCGAGATGAAAAAATGTTTTATTAATTATTAGGCGGAAAGGAAGAAAAATAGTGTCAATAAACGACAATGAGATTTATTAAATTCTAGTTTTAGTTTAGTAATTTTTTTGTTTTACAATTTTAATGCATAGTGACAGGGGTCTTGGTCTTATAAGTAAAATTGGTTACAGTTTGGAACAAACTTTATCAAAATAAATAACAAAAAATTATATCGCCATAATTTTGAATGATGCCAAATATCAGTTCTTATTAATTCAGTCTTATTGACTATTTTCACATATCAAAGAGTTCATACAACTTCCCTTAATGCAAAATGTCATTTAATTTTTGTATGTTGTAATATGTGTTTTAAATAGGGTCACATACAGAACAAGTAAGAAAAACCATTTGTGAATATATAAACGGATAGTGATAAAATGAAGGAAAACGATACCTCCAAATGCAAATACTTCGTTATAAAATTTCGCGAGCTGTATAAACGAATAAATCAAGAACACCATGGAGCACCATGGTGTCCTCCGGCTGACTTCCCATATCGATAACCTCCATAAAAGAATATAAAGCAATAGAACATATACAGAATGAAGGATATATACTACCGGTAACACTGCACGATATGTGACAATTCCCATTCAGACAAAATTTATCTTTTTCTTTGCTCGCACTCGATTCTAGATTCCAAAATAAATATATATTATTTACGAACTCGAAAATATGTAGAATGTTGTCAAGACGTTTCGAGAAGGTAATGCGGATATTGATCGATTTGGATGAGGATTGAGATTTTTGATAGCAACATACCGGAGTCAGTTCAAAAAATATTATTGCAAGCAAAAACAATTAGATACGAGTAATGTTTTACTATATGTCCTTGGTTTGTAGGCACGAATAAGTAAAAGACAACTGTATACAAGGCCGAATTCTAATTACGACATCAATGGGAAATTCTGCGAGGAGGTAGTATTCACGTTTTCCCGCATCTTCGCGAAGCAGGAAATTGAATTTCCTCAACTATGCGGTGCGGTCGCAAAGTTTTCGCCGCAACGCAAACCCGCGACGTTTGTTTAGCGTCGCGACGCCGTCGAGGCCAGTTTCGCTTGTTCGAGAAGAATGGCTTTGTTTGCTACTTAACGCCATGTTGTCTTTCTAAATACTACGACATTTAAATAGATTTAATAAGGAATCAGTAGAAAGGAATCAGTGAAATTGTAGGAAACGAGGAAAATGACATTGATTAGCTACGTCAGACATGACCAACATCAACAATATTGCTGCAATTCAATTGCATCATAACTGCCTTTGAAATACCTTAAAAAATGGATGTGTGAAAAAGTGGTGATTAGACTTTGGCAGAGGCAGATCTAATCGTTTCGGAGATAAGGATCTAAATGTGAAAAAAAATGGCAGTTTTTGAGAGAACCAAGTATCCGATTTGAATGATTCAAAATGCTTGTATTGACGAAACGATTGCTTTTGAGGAAATAATTTGTTGTTCATTTCATTTTTTTAATTTGCAAAAAATATACAACTTAGTTCAACTAGTGGCAGATTACTTTTTGATCGAGTACGCAAATAACTAATTAATATTGTTACACTATTGTACTGATTATTCATCTATTGCTTAGTACCGTTTTTAAGCTTTTTGAAAGGATTTTCGAGTCAGATATTGAAAAAATAACACAAATGCGTAATTATAATATAATGGCATAACAATTATTTAAACATTTATAATAGGTTGTTAAATATAATTATTATATTTAACTACCTATTATAATTAAATAATAGTTATTCCAGATTCTAATTAAATAATTAAAATAATTAAATACATTACTGTTCATAGTTTTGAAAGTTCAAAAACTTCACTTAGATAAATCTCAATACGAGACAATTTGGGTCAGTTTAATGAATTTTTGATGAAATGACGGACCCCTCGATAATTCAGCAAATTTTCTGAGTAAAAACTTAAAGGAATAAATTATATATTTGTTTTAAATTTATATTGGTAATTAAAATGCAAAACTTCCCGTTGAATTTAACGATCCAATCATTTCGTTATATCTGTATAAATCAATATAACTAT